GTTGTGGAAACATTATTTTCTCCACTGAGACTTTCCGGAGTGGCAAGAATTTCCCTGCCCTTGATTCCTCAAGCCAGAGCTCACTGTACACGACGGGTGTTCGGTTGTTGTTGTTGTTGTTGTGTGGCTTGTGAAAGGCGGGGTGGGGGGGGGCGTTCGGTGCACAGCCAGCCCTCGGCGCTACAGTCTCTCCGCGCCACCTCTCTGGACCGCGCCAGCGCCCGGATTGTCCCGATCTCGGCGCCTCTATTTACTTCAGTAGCGCTACTTTTGACTCGGCAAGACAGCTGGTGAATGGCGCGTTCACAACTCCCTTCTTGACTGGTAATTTAGCGCTTCCTTTCGCAGAGCCTGATGCTTGTCGCTTCTTCGGCAAGCGCTGGAGTTGACCGCACAGGCAGGATCTACAGCTAACCCTCTACTTGACGAAGGGTGTGTTTGCGCACTCCGTCAGGGGCCACTTCTCACTAGAGCAGCATGCCGGTAGCGCCATTGTAACCATAAGAATCCGCCATTGAAAGAAGATCTCTGGCTCTCTCTCTGATTCCTACTCCTTACTCCAGCAAGTAACTACCACGGCTTATCCGACAGGACTTCAGAGTGCTAAAGATGCTTCACAAGAAGTCCCGCTCAGGCCACTGCGACCTACTGAAAGGCTTCTAGTTTCGGGCTACAAGAGAAGCGAGTGGGGGAGGGGAACAGAAACCAGCCCGGTGGATATAAATGGAATTTTATTGTCACTGACTACAGTGGGATTCGCTCTGCTTCTGATACTTGTTCCAGTCCTTAAAACACTCCTATCTGCTTGTACGCTATCTACACCTAGGCAATAACCCTGAAATACGGAGATGCCCTGTGACTAGCTATTTTAAAGCGGTAGAACTTCAGCAAACCTATTGTCAATCTGTTTTTCGAGCTAAGTCCAGGAATCTGTGGGAGACAAGGAAAAATATTTAAACCCTTAGCAATATTTTTCTTGATTAAAAAATGCTTAGAGGACATATGAGAACAACCCTTCAGTTTCCTCCTTTAAGTATGGGAATGCCTTGCATTTAAAGCTGGAAAATAAGAACTCCCTAACAAGATTTTCTCTCGAAATGCAAATTCGAGTTATTATAAAAGAATTATCTCACAGGTTCCTTTGAAACATTTCTGACCACAGACCTAATATGCTGTTGAACATTACTTTTCTCCTATACCTATTGGGGGTGGGAGAAGAAATACTCTTCTCCTTCAAAGCAGAAATGAAAGATATCTGCCATTTGTAACCCGAAACTCTGGGTACACAAGCTTTTCAGCTTCTTAAAAATAGCTGACAGCAGTGACAAAAAACCAACTATTTCCCAAGCAGTAAATGGGGGGGGGGGGCCGTTTCAAGCGAGGCCTGTGCATTAGAAATGTTTTAGAAAGACTTTTTCCTCAGAGGTGGCTGCAAGGGGAGTTTAAAATCCGATATTGGGGTGGGGCCGCCATATATTGTTCCCAGTTTATGAGGTATGCATCTGAAAACTATCACACACGTTTTTTCAATCTCCGGTAACGAGCCCAAGGACACCTGGCCTATTACGTTGTAAAGCTATTTTTTATAAAGACATTTTAGGGCTAGACATTAAAAGTTATTAGACTGAGCACACGTGAGGTACAGACGCGCAGCTGGAAAAAAGGCCTCTGGTAGATATTTCCTTCACCCCCTAGCCCCCACCGCCGCCACCAAAAAAGGGGGGGGGAACCCTCTAGTTAAAACGTCTTGTTTTTGCTTTGCCTTCCTTTGCGGAGTCAGAAAAGTCAACTGTGTGCTGGTAGAATAGATTAATTCTGCATGTAAAAGATCTGAGTTTATCGTCTTAGAACTCCCTGAAGAACCGTTTAGTAGTGCCTATGGAGACCCCATTTTAAAAGACAGCCAGGAGAAACGTGCTACTATGCGAAACACAGATCCTTCGAAAGTCAAAGATCTTGAGCCTGATAGCCGGCCACATTGGGTCATAGGACTCAGATGCAAGGGTCTTTGGTTTCATACAAGACATTGCTCAACTTGTTTATTAATCAAGCTGCGTGGACATGACTGACATGTTTTAAAATTCAGGGCTCCCAAGTTATCTCATCGGAAAAAGTGCAAGTTCTTAGCTGAGGCACTGGCACTGGAAATCCAAGGGTTTTTTGTTTTTGTTTTGCTTGTCTCTTTTTTTCCTCCGCATCAGGATTCCCAGGGAACGCAATACTACCGCCTCCTGTAGCTCTCCGACCCTCTGGCTGTGTTTTGCTAAGCAGAATCACCGAGGGAGACTCCGCCAAAGGATCCAGCTCGCAATCACCAGGCCTTCTTCTCTCTGACCCCCCCTCCGCCCCCGCCCCTGCCTCCTCCGGGAGCTGACCCATAGGTCAGGCCCTTGTGCGCTGCACTCGGAGAAGAGAGGATCTGAGAGGCAGCGAAGGCACCGAGCCGTACAGAGGCGCTTCGGACGGCGTTTATCAAAAGCTAGGAAGGGGGAGATTCACGCCAAGAACTGCTGCGGAGACGCTGAGCGTTTAACAACCTCCCGGACCCGAAGACACCGCAGCTCTTAGCAACCGGCCAGAAGGTCTCACGGGGGGTAAGTCGCCGCCGCCGCCTGCCTTTTGCTTCATTCCTCCTCCTAGCTGGCAAGACGATGGATTCACACGGCTGCGGCCCTTAATTTTTGAACTCCACGTGGTTACCCGCTGGCCCCTTTTCCAGGCAGCGATGCCTCCTGCCTGGCTGAGCAGCAGGCTGGGCGCGCAGCAAGGCACGTAATCAATCAAGAAAGCCTCGGCGCGATGGAGGCCCTGGGCCTGATCAACCTCCATCCGTGACTCAGTCCTTTTCTCCTTCCTAAGGGTGTCGCCAGGATTAAATTCATTAGTGCTCTGCTCGGATACGATGGCGCACAGCAGCGAGGAGAAAGCCTATAAATAACCCAACGCTATCCTGAGCTCTGAATGGCTTGAGTGTGCCTTAAATCAAGCCGTTGCCGTCGCTTCCTGGGAGCTTGGTTTAATGGGGAGTGTAGAAATCTGAATAACAAAACAAGGCCACCTTGGCTTGGCCTTATACAGAAGGCCTGACCACTCTTGCATGCCTGATTTCACAATGGGGAAAACAAAAGACAGCAAAATGAAGGATTTGTTTTAATACACCTTGCCAAGAAACCCCCAGGGGGAAATTGGTACTAGAATTTAACACTTTTTTTTCTGGAGCAGGGTCTACTACTCTCTTGGATGATGGAATAATGCCTGGCTTCTGCTACAGCATAATCAAAATCTCTGCTTACAGAAACCTCCTTTATGGCGCTGCAGCACCAGCATCTGAGAACACCTTCACCCAGCTGCACTTGCCAGGTTTTAA